GTTTTCTCCTTCACAGATGCTGCCAGACCTGCTGAGCTTTTCCAGCTTTTGTTTTTGTAATGGCTTTGCTGTGTTTACTTTGCTTGCCATAAACTTACCAGTATGTGATTAGTCTTCTCTTCTCCACCCCTCATCTCACCAACAGCAAGTTGCGTCTTTGTGCTTCGTTTAGAGATCTAGTGATGAGGCATCCAGTCCGACTTTGGTAATCTGTTTAGAGAACCATGTGACAGGTTCTATCATTTCATTTTCCCGCAGTATCCCAAGGACATTATGATACGACAGAGGCGATACCATGTGTTTCAGGTGAATGGAGCATTCCACCACACTGCAGGTTATCCTTTGCAAAGTTGCAGTCAGACCAGCATTTATTTAGTGCTGCTAAAATCCCCTTAAGCATATCACAGCAAATAAACTGCAGTTAATGTTTTGTAGCCAAGTTAAATTATGAATAATTAATGAATTAATCTTTTAGTTGGTGGTGCTTGGAGGTAACTTTTGGTCTAGACCAAAAAGTTCTCTGGTTTTAATGGTCTACCAGGATCTTTTAACTTTTTGATCTGAAGAGTTTGATAATGTCTTGGGTCAAAGTCTCATTTGGAGATCGCTCCCTCGATTTATTGCACTGTAGTCTTGGCCTAGCTTTTGCATTAAGATCCTGGGGTAGAATTTCAGTATAGTTGTCGTAACTGGGAATCAACAGTGTAATTCCTTAATACACCAGCTTAGTCAGAGATGCACCGTTTTTTGGTGTTGCCAAGAGAGTTTTATTAGGATGAATCTGGATTGTATGTGCATGTTGGACTGTGTTGCTGTACGATTGACTATGAAGTCTGAAACTGTATTTTTCCAATTTTTCTTGGAATGTGAGCATTCCTGACTGGGCTCTCATTTATTCCTAACTCCTGCTGAGATGGCTGTAAGCTGCTTTGAACCACTGCAGTTCATGGTGGTAAATACACCAAAAGTGCTGTCAAGGAGGGAGTTTCAGGATAAGTGGTAGTGTCCCTACCTCTGATCTAGGAGGCTCAAGTCCCACCTGCTCCAGAGGTGTGTGGTGACCCCTTTGGAAAGGTTTCTTCTTTAAAAAAAAAAAAAAGATCTAAATGATTACGTAGTTCCGAGTCAGGATGGTGTGTGGCTTGGAGGTCGTGGTGTTCCCATGCATTGCTGGTCCTGTCCATCTAGGTAGTAGAGATTGTGGGTTCAGAAAACACTTCTGAAGGAGTGCAAGTTCAAATGATACATATTATTGCCACTATCACCTTGGTGGAGGGGGAGTATGTTTAAGTTTTTTTGGATGAGGTGCGGTCAAGTTTTTTTTGTCCTGGTTGATGTTGGCCTGCTTGACTGTCACTGGAGCTGCACTTATCCAGGTAACTGAAGGGTATTCCATCCTATTTTTAACTTGTGCATCAAAGATGGTGCATATTAATTGGGGTGATGGATGTGAGCTCCATGCCACAGAATTTCTGGCCTCTGCCCTGCTGTTATAGCCGTACTATTTACAAGGCATTCCGGTTCAGTTTTGTTGAGTGGTAGCCTCTAGGGTGTTGATGGCAGGGACCCTACTAGTGATGATGATGCTTTTTGAAAATCGTGGCGAGAGGGCTAGATTCTTGCATTTGGCAAATACTACTTGCCACTTATCTCGCCATGCCTGAAAATTATTTAGGTGTTGATATAAGCATGTTGCATGAGCCACTTCATTATCTGAGGAGTTGCAAGTGGTGCAAACATCACCAATTTTGATTTTGTAGACAGAAGGACATGGTTGAAGCAGCTGAAGATGGTTGGTTCCTCATAGTAACCTGAGGAATTGCTGCAGAGATGTCTTGAACTGAGACGATGAACTTCCAACAACCACAGCCAACTTCCATTGCGATAGATATGACTGACCAAATAGAGAGTTTTCTCTCTAATTTCCATTGACACCAGTTTTGCTGGGGCTCTTTGATGTCAAACTCTGCCTGAAACATTAAGGCAGCATTTGACAGTCATTTTCACCTGACCTCTAGAGTTTAACTTAACCTTGATGTAAACATGAACTGTTATGATGAGACCAGGAGCTGAGTGGCTCTGGTAGAACCCAAACTGAGCATCAGTGAGCAGGCTATTGCTGAGCAAGTGCCACTTGATAGAGCTGTTGATTGACGCCTTGCATCACTCTATTCATTATGAAGTGTAGCCTGAGTGGTAATAGTGAATTTATCCTGCTTTTTACGTACAGAGCATACCCGGACAATTTTCCACATTGCTATGTAGATGCAGTGTTGTAGTTGTACTGGAAAAGCTTAGTTAAGGGCACAGCTACTTCTGGGGCACATGTTCTCAGTACTGTTGTAGGAATTTGGCAGACCCAATTGTCTTTACACTATCAGATGCCTTCAGCCATTTCTTGACCTTGGGTGGAATGAATTGAATTAGCTGAAGATTGAAGTCTGTGATATTCAGACTTCAAGAGGTGACCAAGATGGATCAACTACTTGACACTTCTGGCTAAAGATGAATGCAAATGATTCATACTTGTCCTTTGCACTGATTTAATGCTGAGCTTATGGTGAAGCTACCTCCCTGTTTTAATTTTTAAAAATACTTCTGTGGCTTATCTCCCAGCTCCTTTCCCTGTAGTGGAGCAAGAACCAATTCTGACAGGACAAGATAGGTAGAAGGGTAACTTCAAAGAAGCGAACACTTCCTTCCTCACTCACTCAATTCCACATTGACTCAACCCCAGAGACTTGCACTTAACATCAACAAATGAGTGCAACAGTACGTTATGATGCATCTCTGGAGCAGGTGAGACTTGAACCCACGCCTCCTGGGTCAGAGATGGGTGCACTACCACTGCACTACCAAAAGCCCGTAAGCAAGCTTTGTAAGTGTTGCATAATCAATCATTTTAAACATTGACTTCAAGATGGGATGAGAGTTATTGCTTTTATAGTTAGGGATATTGCGTGACAGATGGCGAATGACTGAATGCAAACAGATCTGTTGAGAGAGATATTCCATTTCACTTTTCTATTGGCCATCTAGTTCATTAAAATATGGAAAGGCCACAACTTTGAAATGTACTTGCCATTTTAAGATGTTTGAAACAGTATGATCAATATACTTTAAGGATTGTTTCTCTTTGTGTCTTTGAAAACAGTGGACTGTGTTGAGAAAAAAAACTGTGTTTTTAAAATCAGAGATTTACCATGATGGCTGCATAATTTCACCGCAAAGAATTTGATACCAACAGGTTCCTGCAACATACAGCAGATTAGAAGCTGAGGAATTGTTTACAAGTGAAACTGGTTCTCTGCTAAATTAGTAGGTTGGAACTGGAAACAAGTATGTTTGTTTTTTTTCCCCCTAACAAGTATGTAGTACAGTTGCTTTCCCCAGTAGAAACTGCATGTTTTCTGTTGTAAAAACAACTCAGTTTATACTTAAAGAAAACCAGTTACCTTTACTGCAGTAGTTGCTGAGAGCTGTGACTCTCAAATTGAAAAATCAGACACTTTCCCAAGTGAACCAGTTGCTCTGTACTACTTGCCAACCAGTGGAATCTTCCAGACAAAGGCGATTGAAAACCAAGGGTGTGACTGCCTAAGATAACAAGGTGTAGAGCTGGATGAACACAGCAGGCCAAGCAGCATCAGAGGAGCAGGAAGGCTGATGTTTCGGGCCTAGACCCTTCTTCAGAAATGGGGGAGGAGAAGGGGGTTCTGAAATAAATAGGGAGAGAGGGGGAGGCGGATAGAGGAGAAGATGGGTGGAGAGGAGACAGACTGCCTGAAGGGTTATCTCAACATCTGAATCAGGAAACAAAGACCACTGAACTGATCTGCCCGATTTTTCTACTTTTCCGAATCCCCATTTTCTGTGTGTGCAGGAGTGCTGTTTATAAAGGGTTTAGAATTTGTGTTTATGTGCCAAATGGTTTATATATATGCTTTATATATGGCTTAGCACTGAAACCTTGATTCTGAAAGTCAGGTCAATTGGGATTCTGTACTTGCCTTTTACATGAAAGAAGTACATATTGGTGTTACTCCGGAGATAGTGGAGCTAAATTTTGCGTGCTGCTCCCGTAAGTCTTAACAATGCCCATTATAATCTTGAATATTTTTCATTGAGTATATTGATTTCAGACTGAATTGATTTTAAGGGAGAAAACATGAGAAAGTTAATGTTGAGTGTAAAACACAGATGTGCTTGGACAAGTCTTGATGGTTCATTGTTCAGTGGCTTAATCTTCAGTTTCATTTCAGTTCACCTTGCAATACAATAATATTGATAGTGATGATAGCTGAACATAAATAAATTTTTCTTGTATTTTTGTAGCTCTGCATTTGACACGCAATCAAGTTATCGTGTGGCAGTGAAAAAACTTTCCAGACCATTTCAATCTATCATTCATGCAAAACGAACATACAGAGAGCTACGATTGTTGAAACATATGAAACATGAAAATGTAAGTACTCCATATAAGTGAGTACAAGTAGTATAACTTATTCTGCCATCCTAAAAGAACTATTAGAATTATGAAACCAATAATTTGAGTTTTGCAAATGTTGGACATTGTTACATTTATCCATGTGGTATGGAATTTCACTCCTAAAATATTGTAAATACTATATATTTGCTACTTAAACATTTTATAAATGGTGTGAAATACTGCACTATTGAAATTTTGCAGACCATTTGAAGTAGATTATTTTTATCTGATTAGCTTAATGTTCTCAGATTTACTAAAATTGATAGGTGTGTGAATTTACTCAAGTCTAAATCACAGATTAAGTTTATTCAGAGAATAATTAAGAAGAGGAAGCTATGTGTTACATTGCTGTCAAAGAGCTCATTTGTTGCATTGCTATCTGTTTGTCTGTATCCTTGCAGATGGTTTTCTTTTCAAGTATATTCCACTCCCTTCTTAAAAGTAATTTTGAATCTGCCATTAATGACATTTAAGAGTGTGCATTTCAGATAGTAGGAACTTGCTGCTTTAAAGAAGATCACTTCTTCTTTGTTTCTTTTCTCAGCTATCTTTAATCTGTTCCTTTCGTTACTGATCCTGCTGGCTGTTCCTTTAGCCTAGTCTAGCGAAAGCTTCTTCAAGTCTGGAGAGATCTTGGGATTGCCATCCCATATTTCCTATTCTGGGAACTCTTTCCTATCGGGATGCAACATGTTCCATACCCCATAATGCTCCACTGTCCTGACACATGTTTTTTTCCATCCTAAACAGCACTCTAGTTTCTGCCCACAGTGCAAGTTAACTCCATTATTCCTAAATCACATTCCTACTTTTGCCAAATCCTGCAATCCTCTCTACCACATTGACATGTCCAAACATAACTCACTTATCTCCAGTGCCAGTGCACACCACCCACTGCTGCACGTTTTGGAGAGCTGTCTGCACAATCCTCCTGTTTCCCGTGAGCATCTTTCCTTGCAGCTATTTAATCATTCGCTGTGTCTCGCACTCTCTTGTTACATCAATGTATGGCCCTGTTTTGAATTTCAGTCCTGTTGGAGTGCGTATAGACACGTCCTCCCCTAGCTCAATCTGAAAACAAATTGCATTCATTTTTATTTTAAAAATGATCTTTAGATATAGTACAAATAGCCAGTAAACTGAAGCCTCCTTTCCTATACTTGGACATTTTGAATCATTCACGAAGTATTCATGCACACTAATTGTTTTCAAAAACTACTTATTTTGAAGTGAATAAGTGGGGCATTGGCTATCCTACTTCCCAGTTCATTGTACTTGCTTGTACTTAGTACTTGCTTAGGAATTTTTGATACCCCTGCTTCAGGATGAAGTTGTGGCCAGCAGATTGATTTGCTTGGGCACTTTGTCAAACGTGATGACTTTCTATATGGAACATTTGCTTCCATATATGCAGAACTTGCCTGCGTTTAGTCAATTAAGTATGACTTTATAGCATTCCAGCAATTTCCTCATTGTTTAACAGCCCAGAACTATGCAGTTTATATGTGGTTTTAAAATTGCTGGATACTCAATTAACTCATGTTCTTCAAGTTTTGCTTTTCTTCGACAATGTGACCTTTTTAGAGTGGGGAAGCAAACTTGCACAGAATTTTATTTGCAAATCTGCTCTGTCCAAGGGTTTGAAGGAAGAGCTGGATTGATCCCTCGTTACTGTTTAACTGTATTTGCCACATGCCATTGTAGATGGAAAAGTCAATTTATGTACATTTTATCTTTGGTAAAGTCTTTCAGAAACTATAAACAAAATGGTATCACTAGTGCCTGAATAACTAGTAGGAAAAATACAATTGATCCCATCGGAAAGTGCAAAAGAGTTTTTAGAAGACATTGGGCTTATGCATCTGAAATAAAAGCTCTGCATCTTGAAGTTTTATCCCTTGACTTAGGTTTTTGTTTTCCTAGGTAATTGGCCTGTTGGATGTTTTCACACCAGCAACAACATTACAAGATTTTACTGATGTGTAAGTGTGCTATCTTTACAAACTTATTCTTTTTGTGGAGTTATTGTTTGCAGACACGGGACTTCATGTATCAAGATTGTTATCCATTTCATTTCCTTAACCAACACAATTTATTAAGCAAGCCAACTTATTTTAAAGCAAAAAGTAGTCAGTAACCCAAAAGTTGGTTTTATGGCTACTTTTTTGTTTTCAAAATAGGGTAGAGGTAGTTCTAAGTAACACTATGAAACCATGGAGGATATCAAGTTTGGTGTTGATTTTTTCTGATTTTGTAGCCTTGTGCTATGTTTTCCTAACCTTTCCTCAATCACTTTTCAAGCGAGTTTGTTGTATTATTAATCACTATTTGTATTGCTGCTATTAATATACATTATTGAAAAGGCTGCAAGAAAAGGTTTATTTTTTGATTGCATGATCAAATAAGACAAGCTGACTATTTTTGAATCACTAATGTGTAGGCATTTTTAAAGGAGGTTGGCATTAGAAAAGCCAACAGAAACAGCCTGTTATAACCTAATATAAAGTACATGTTTTAATTAAGATTGTTCTAACAAGTAGTCAAGGAATTTGCACCTCAGCTAAGTCAAAATCATGGAAAATATTCACTTGTTCACAGGTTAAGAATTGCAGACTCATCACTGGGGGGAAACTGCGTGTCCTGCCAAAAAAAAAACACATCTGTGGAAAGTAAAAAGGAAAATAGTATTTATGATTATATAGCTAACAAGAAAAAAAATGGAGAAAGGTTGTATGAGGAATTCCATCCCAAATTCTAAACCCCTCGATTGTCATTTAAATCCAGTCTGACATGTAAAGATTATATCTCTCTTTGCTCCCTGTTTGTCTGATTATGGACTGAAATGAGAAAAGAACTTTTTTAAACACCTGAGGATTGTTGAAGGATTGCTGCAATTTTGAAAGCAAGTAATCTGAAACTCGTGAGTACTGTTTATGCTGCTGCCTTTTCAAGAAGTAGTAGAAACCAAGTTTGCAGATGAGCTGAAGCCACTGGGTGTGTATGACTGGAGCTTTGGCTGGGAGTAAGTTTTATTGATTGGTCAGCGGACTAGTGATCAGTTATTGTTTAAAAGCCTTCTGCCTGCCAACAACTGTGCTTGGATCCTAGGTAGCTGAACAGCTTGAGTTGTGAATATTTTGGCAGAGTCCATTAGATCTCCGCAAAGCTGTTTCTTTTTCTTTCTGCATAAAATGCAAGCTGAATCAAGCATGACTTTTTATCTGATATGGTTCCTACTTGTAGCCTAAATTTAGGAAGGTTACTTTTGACTGAAAAAAAAATGAGTTCTGAAAGTATGCTTTGCAATCCAGCATATTTTGTGCAAAGTAGATTCTAAGTTCTAAATGAATGTCATGGTGTTTAGCTAGGTGAGGAACCTGGCAGTACCTAGCACTAGGGATTGAAATGTATTTGACTTTGAATCTTAGATATTATCAAGTACTTAGATATCATAAACACAATGTGAGGGGGTGGGGGAGGTTGTGGTAAAATCATAATCTCAGCTATGATATTCTGTTTCAGAAGAATGAATTATCCAACCAATAAAACTTGGCATTTTTATTTTTGTATTTAAGAATATATGTTCTCGCGTCCGTTTCATACAGTTGAAGATGCTCATCATCCTCGTAGCGAAATGCAACAAGTCTAACATAATTTTAGAACTATATATGTTAGAGTGAGCGTGTTTGGTATTGGGGCTGAGGTCATTCATGACCCAGGTGCTTTGTTATGTAGAGAGGATGAGATGCTACCGTAAATTACGGTAGCAATAGTTTTGTTGGCATTGAGGACAGTACCCATTGATACCCTAAGAGGTTATGGGGGCTTGTTGGATTAGATTAGTCATCGACCTTCAGCAAGAGTTCCCTTTCTCCACATGTTCATCCATCACCATGTGAAATACATATGTTACTTTAAATACTAGCTGCTCCCCCATGAAAAAAAGTGTTGAAATGAGTTTCTTGTAGAGGAGGCCCGAAAGAACTGCAGATGCTGTGAATCAGGAACAAAAACAAAAACATGTTCCGAGGAAGGGTCACCGGACCTGAAGTGTTACCTCTGTTTTTTCCTTTACTGCTGCCAGACCTGCTGAGCTTTTCTAGCAACTTGGTTTTGTTCTTATAGAGGAGTTTTGATTTTGTTACAACAGAAGAATGAACCATCTGTTTAAGCTTGCAATACAAACATCCATCTGAACGTTTGAATTTGGAGCAGGGATAGTCCATTCATCCCACTAACCTGTTCTGCTATTCAATAAGATCAAGGCGAACCTGGTTATAATATCAAATCTGCATTCCTGCTTAGCCTGATGACCTCTCACCCTCTTGCTTAATAAGCTTGTATCTAGACCTCAAAAATATTCAAGGATTCTGCTTCTAACATCTTTTCAGGGAGAGTTCCAAAGACACGTGGCCCTCTGAGAAATTCTCCTGTCTTTTTAAATGTGATGGCTGATTCTTAAACAGTGACCCCTGTCTAAGATAATCCCATTAGAAGAAACATCCTCTCCACATTTACCTAGTCAAGAGCCCTCAGGATCTTAAATTACAATCAGGATGCTCTTGCTGTACTAAATTCCAGTTGCTACAAGACTAACTTTCCAACCTTTTCCTCAAGGCAACCCTCTCATTCAAAGTAATTGTCTGGGAAACCTTCTATGAACTGCCTGCAATCCATGTACATTCTTAATGAAGGTGACTTTGCAAAGTACTACAAATACAGTCACATCAGTATCTTGTATAACTGAAGCATAAATCTCTGCTTTTGTGTTTCATCCCCCTCAAGATAATTTATGTCCTTTCCTAGGTACTTGCAGTACCTGCACACTAATTTATGATTTCATGCACGAGGGCACCCATCACTAAAGCATTTTAGCACTCTGCATCTCTCACATTTAGATAATATGCTGTTTTCATCATTCGTGCCAAAATGGGCAGCTTCACATTTTTGCACATTATATCCCATTTGCTGTACCCTTCCCCATTCACTTAACCCTCCTGTATCTTTTTGTAGCCTCCATTTGTCCTCTTCACAACTTACTTTCTCACCTATTTGTCACTCTGGCAAATTCCACAAACAAACCACCTGTCATCTATGTAAATCATTAACAGCTGAGGTTCCAGCACCAATCCCTGGGGGGGCGGGGGTAGGAAAACCACTTGTTACGTCTTGCCATCCTTGAAAAGTTTCATTTATGCCTCCAATATACAAACAGGTCTTGTTTTCCAGAGACATTCCGGGCTTGTCCTTGCCTGCCTGTCTTGTGCAGATGGTTTACGTTTCACCCTTCCTGAAAGTCCCATCGGGACTGGCAGCTCAAAGGTTGGCCATTTTGGTTTCGGGCCTAGCCGTTTAGGTCCTGCGCTATCTAGCCACATTAGCATAAACAGCTTTGCTTTGCTCCATAAATGTAAACCAATTATATATAATTATTCACTTCACTTTTTTCTCTGCTCAAGTCTCAATGTGACCTCTACAGTTGCACATTATCTGCCAGTTCCTTGAAATCTGAGATGCAGTTTGAGGCTACTAGTTGTGTACCGCCTAACAAATGCAAATCCGAGAGGCAGGTGTGATTCTTTAACTTGATTATGTTTGTTTGAGAGAGCATTGTCTCAGATATGTGGAGCCAAAGTAAGCTTTAATTTTAAAAGTGCAGGATGACGGGGGAATTTTTCAGTCTTTGAGTCCCCAAAGATCACTGTCCCTCTAATGTGACTTTCAGTTCAATATCACTTTGCATGGTAATTATCTCCATGTTAACTCCACTGTTTTGTAAATCAAACACATGATGGAATTTGATGGCCAGCCCACCAGTGTCTACTAGAAAGAATGGATTTGAGACTAACATGATATGTTCCATTGCATTTAATTCCTGAAGTCATCTGTTGAATTCCTCTGGTGTGCACAGATTTAATGGGTGAAAAAAATTTTTTCTTTGTCTTTTGGTTTTTTTTTTCCTAGTATTTCCTCCGAACTGTAAGCGTTCCGGCATTTTATTTATTAATTGGGAGGACCGCAGACTGATTTTCAATTTAACTGCATTTGCAACTTTGATCACATGGTTTCCCTACAGTTCAGCTTTAAGTTATTAAAGAACCTGAAGTCAAGCAACTATGCATTGTCTGGCAGCTAACTGTATACTTCACTCCTCCTTAATTTAAGAAGATTGACAATTTTAGACATCAGATCTAAAGATCTTTGCAGGACCTTCCCTTTACTTAATCACCTCATTTCAACACAGGATTAGTTTACCATGGTTGACACACTGCAGCTGGATGAACACATCAGGTCAGGCAGCATCAGAGTAGTAGGAACGTAGACGTTTTGGGTTGACTTTCCTGCTCCTCTGCTGCCTGACCTGCTGTGTTCTTCCAGCTCCACACTGTTATCCTCTGACTCCAGCATCTGCAGTTCTTAGTATCTTAGTTTACCATGGGTAGCATTCAGTTTGTTGAGCGAGGATTTAACCGAGTGGTGGTGAAATTACATTTACAAAATTAACAACTTTCATTGCATGAAAAATATCTATAATTTTATTTGATAATGCTTGTTAGTTGGTTTTTTTAAAAAAAGGAATCAAGATAATTTCTGCAAAATATAACAACCTGCATTTGTGCCAAATATGACTTAATCATCAGGTGTGATAAAACCATTTTCTTCATTGGAATAGTTTTCTCTAGCACGTACCTTTCAAATTCATTATGGATATTCTCTCCCTTTCTCCCTTTTAAGGGGTAAAAGGGTGAGAAGATCTTCTTTCTTTGATTTTTGTGCATATGGGTTTTAAGGACATAACAAACACCTGGGCTGTGTTGGCCATATCGATGGATTTATCGAACTGCAGTGAGAAGCATTCAGAATCTTTCAGGTTCTGTTGATAGTTGATGAAAGACTTCAGACAAAAATACCACTTATTTTGCTTCTGTGGAAGCACCATGTGACGTGGTTTCGAATTTAGATTGTATTTCTTCTTTGATCT